CTCAGAACAGCCACACAAGGATGTTTTCAGATGAGAATATGGAGGAGAGGAATAAGAGGGGGAAAGAAGGTACACGGGCTGAGGGTTTGGCAACACAAGGCCTATGGGCCACATGCAGTAGATGCATGTTTTTGCACTGACTGGATACCCATGAAAGCCTTCAGACGTGCTGGTTCTCCTGTAAAGGAAGGTGCCACCCTTTCTTTTAGTATTTGGCTGGTGGGAAGGAAGGAATTCAAAACTGGAAGTGAACCTCTGCTCATTTGCAGGTTTGAAAGAAAATGGATTTGGGGAAGGGGGTGGGGGAAACCAAAATCACGAACCTTCATTTGAGTGGTAGTGCAGTACTTGGTGGGTCCCAGCAGGTTGGAACCCAGTGAAGCTGCCTCCCCCCCCAAGTCTAAAACAAGGATGAGGGTGGCCCTTCAGCTGTTGTTGGGACTACCGTCCCCATCTGCCTGAGCCAACAGTGAGGGATTATGGGAGAGGGGGTTTAACATCTGCAGCGCCACACCTGCTGTACTTTACCACAGCTCTAGACAGTCTCCATCCTTAAAGGAAAATATTGAGGTCTGGAACAATCCTTCATTTTCCTTCCTGGTGCTCAGAAGTAGGACACGCTCACTCCCTTTATAGGGGCAAGGAACCGGCTTTGAAGGGGGCATGACAAATGGAAATTGTAAGCATTACTCTTTTGTCAGGGGTGTGTGTGCATTTTATCTCTGAGGACATGCTTCTCCTGACCCCAATTTCTGCCTTCACCATTGGAGTTTTAAGTTCTCTCCATTTAATACTGCACTAGGTCTTAAACCAAGAGCAGGGCTACAACCCCGATATAAATCTTACAAGTTACACCTAAGCATCATTTGCTTAGAAATTTCTGGTATGCAAGGCAGTAATATCACCTCCCCTTACTCCAGATCTTTTTGTTACATCAGTATGCATTAGCTCTAGAACCCAAACGTATAGGACCTAGAAACTTGAAATGAAAAACTGTAATTTCACTGTTCTGTGGAGTCATGCCCTGCTGTCGTCATTGTCTGCATAATGCCTACCACACTGCAGAATTCAGGAGAGAACAAACAGATCTTTCTCAGTTTCTCACCCTTCAACTTTTGTGTTTAGTACAGTGCATGTAAATTAGTACAAGAGCACTTCTGAAAATAAACCAACACAGAGAGAGAGAGAGAGAGAGCACAAGCAGCGGTACTGCTGGGAAAGGATGATAATTTACTGCATTGCTGCAGTCCCCACCACAGTGTCTGGCTTCTGGTTTGAAATCCAGTCCATTTTTAAGAAAGCAAGTTCTTCTGTATCATGTGCTTAAACAGCTGAAGGTTGGTGAATGCTCAGGCTTCTTTTCAGTACAAATCCTTCCACTGCTTCATCACAGGTACCAGTACAAAAGTGGTGCTGAAACCTCATGCATCTTCCTCCCCTTGTTCCACATTATTGCTCTACAGTAATAACAAACATATTTGCAGTAGGAACAAACTGGGATAGTCTGGTTTTAGCTTATCTATGCTATTTGAGTTTGTTGCGGTTGCCAACAGCACGCTGTCAAGTCAGAACTTATAGCCACTCTGAGGGAGGCACAGTGGGGACCCCTGGCTCTGTACCCAGATGCCTAAACCAGAGCTATGTTGTCTGAATAGCTGCCAGTTGCCTGTCTTCTTTTGAGTGACAAGCAGTGCCCCCTGCTGCTCCCAATATGTTTGCAGCAATGTTCTTTGAGTCAATCAGTAGTTAGTGCTTGGAAAAGTGGCTTTTTCTTGGCCTGAACTTTCCATACAGCTCCCCCCACCCCCAGTCATGCTTGTTGTGGGAAGGGGAGTCCAAGAGTAAAGAAATTTTTGAGATTTGGATCTGTAGTCCCAAAGTGAGACCTTTGCATCCAAAGAATCAGAGGCTTGAAAACATACCATTGCTTTACGCTAACTCTCCACTCGCCTGTTCCAGAGGCTGCGCGACAACTTTCCGAGCGGCGATCCCTTGGAGCCCCTTCCTCCCCAGGCAGTCCTTAAAGGTCAACTCACTGAATCCCAAGGGCAGCAGAGAAGACTCCGGAGCCCTCCTCTCAATGTGCGCACGAACAGCCGGAAGGGGAAGTTGCTTCTGGCTGAGCAACCCAGGAGTCCTCCATCGCAAGCAAGGTAGAAAAAAAATTAGCCCTACTGAAGGAACTGAGCAAAAATGGGGAGATAGGATTCCTACTTTCAGTTCTCCACCACTCAGAAGGGGTTGTTCCTTTGGACAGAGCACATGCTTTGGTGGACCACCTTGTTTTACATGCTGGACTAAAGAGATGAGCTTAGGGGTATGATTTCAAGACACTGAATCCCCTGAAGGAGGGAGAGTCGTGCCCAACTTTTAACATGCTGTGTGATTCAGACACACACACACTTTTTAAACACAGCTAATCTTCCTTTTCATCTCCCTGCTTAGCAAGAATTTCTTCCACAGCAAGACCTGGTGGCAACGAGTAATCTTCAGCTGTTTGCAGTCTAATTGCAAGAGGAATAAGGATTCGGTTTCCCATCTCTGTGTTTTTCTCTGTCACTGCCTTCTCGGTGGAGTTTGGACACTTTTTAAAGTAGAGGTCCTGGGTGTTTCTCCATAAGCCACCATTTCGGCCCAGGGATCCTCAGGCCTTTTCCAGATCTTACTCTCTCCTTCAGGACAGAACTTAATGTGGTATCTCCATTCCAGGAGCCACAGCTGTGAAAGCCGACATGAGGTTTTGTCTGTCTTGAACCCATCCATGGCAATGAATAGAAGTCAAACCTGAGACAATGCTAAAGCAATGACAGTTTTATTTTTAAAGCACTCCTGATTTTTAACCTATTAAATAAGACGTTTCTCAGCACACCAGCTCTTAGTTTTTGCCTAGGCATGTAGTCGTCAGTTCCCACCACCATGTGGGAAGATGGTAGGATGCATAGAGTCCCCTCCTGCTGCTCATGACCGTGTGGGGTGTGGTCTTTCTGAGGTAGGTAAAATGGAGCCCCCAGTGCCCATCTTCTCTCCTGAACTCAGTCATCTGACAGGCTGAAATTCATGGCTGCTGTTAGACTTGCTGAGAGTTTGGTGGCGATTTTCTCTGCAGATAAAAAGAAGACAAATGGGGAATTAGGTAGAAAAAATATCTCTTCCACTCTGATCTTTGTGGGCCAATTCAAAAGAGTACACTGTCTTCACATGAGATGAATTGTTAAATGTGAGAAAGATGGGGAGAAATAGTTTCATCAAAGCTACTAACATGAATTTGACCAAACTCCAGGAGGCGGTGGAAGACAGGAGGGCCTGGCGTGCTCTGGTCCATGGGGTCACGGAAGAATCAGTCATGACTTAATGACTAAACAACAACAATCTGCCAGAACCTCAGTCCCAGTTCTAAAAAACGTGCTCCTGAAAGTACGAGAAGGAATACCAGGTGGTCTTGCATGGCCACTAGAGGCCTGTGAGGAGTATTTTGGGCAGATCTTGGCAGCTGCCATGAGGAAAGCAAACCCTACTAGTGGGAAATATTATGGTGTGGAAAGGAGGACCTCTTTCTGAGTTGCAGGTAGTTCCTCTTCCCTTTAAAAAGGGGCCAACAGTGGAAAGGAAAATGAACTGTACGCAACCATTTTGTCATCCTGTTCCCTTTAACCACATGGTGGTAGGAGGGGAAAGGATGGTAAAAACTTATACAATAAGGGAAGACCATGTGTGGCCCTCCAAATGTTGCTGGGTTACAACTCTCCGTTACAATTCTTTACCGACTCAAGAGTTCAGAGGCTGGAGGGCAAGTATGGAAGAAAGGAGACACAGCAGTGGTAGAAAGTGAAGCTGATGCTGTAAAAATGTGTTGTGGAGAGTTAAGCTCTGCCCTGGGATGCAAGAGAGGACAAGACTCGCATACTGTTCTCCCACTCACCACGGGAGATGTGAATGAATGAAACAGAAAAAGCTACAGTGAAGTATCACAGGGTCCCCTGGGCTATTTCCCCCAGCTTTTTGACTTGAGGAGGAAAGCGCATGCAGATTGTGGCTGGAATCATGACCTAAGAATTGTTCCCAAACCTCTCCATGGGGCACAGCATCACCCAAGCCAGCTGTGTGCCCTTAGTCACTTGGAAAACAATGCTGAAGAAGTAAATTGAAGGACACAGGAAAGTGCCTTTGACTGAGCAAGACATCCATCCATCTCACCCAGCGTGGTTTCCATTAATGGACAGCTGCCCACATAGTGTTCCCAGCAAAAGCCATTTCCTGGCCTCCCTACAGATGCCCAAAATTGAATGTTTAGAACTTCTGCCTGCAAACTATAAAAAAATCTGTAGCCCTCCGTCAACCATTACCTGCTCGTTTCCGCCGTTTCTTGCGCTTCTTGCTTGCTGCCCGCAGACCCTGGCCCTGCTGCAGAGGGTCCAAAGCGGAGATCTCCCCCAGATCAGGAGCCCTAGGCACAGCCTCCTCTGCTTCCACGAGGGCCTTGTTTTTGGCTTTCAGCTCTATCGTCATGGGGCCAAACTAAGGAGAGAGCAAGAGAAACCTGCCTTGTAGGGTTTTAGAGGTAAAAGGTGGAACAGGAAGGAGGATGGTAGAATAGCAGGTCCTTCCAGTAGAATCCTGACCAAAAGAATCAGCCAAGCTGGCCAAAGCTCCAGCACAATGTTGGATGTAGCTGCAGTGCATCCTTTCACACTGAACAGTGAATAAAATTTTCCTCGGCACCATGCCTAAGGTTACCTATGCTATAATCTGAAAGAACAGAGCATGAGGTTGGGTGAAGTTATTTTTTGGCCTGCTAGCTTTTATAGTATAGGGAAAATAAATGCAAGTTTCTAATCCTCAAGGTTGTGGAGAAATGCTTGGAAGGAAGTGGTACTTCCTTCTGGGCTTATAAAATGAGATTTCCAGCAGTGAGGACATCCAGGCCTAGTGTGGAGATCATTCATGGCTGACAGGCTCAAAGCCCCTCAGGAATTTCTGAGCAGCAGGAACTATAACATCAAGCACCGCACCCTTCAGGCGTCACGTTTCCCTCTGAGTTTACCCACTATCTTCACAACAGGTACGGGAGAAACCGATTTTCTCAGAAAAGGTATATTGCAGCAGCAATCCCTGTGGTAATGGAAAGTGCTTGCAGGGGACTTGGTTTTGAAAAGGCAATGAAGAACCAGCAGTATTATCAAAAATCTGCTCCTCCTTTGCCTGTGAGGACCAAACCAACTGCTGGCATTTCAGGGCTGATGATGATGAGCACCTGCACGACCAAATTTCCCACTGTGCCTTCTGTTCTCTGACCAGGGATGGAAACTTAAGCAAAACGTAATACAATTAGGCTGATGCCACATTTCCCTGGCACAGGTTTTCACCACTCACACCCCTGGCAAGGAGCATTTATTATTACATTTCCATCCTGCCTTTTATTCACACCTAGCTCACAGAGGCACTGACATGCCTTGCTCTTTCCCTTTAAACCTCGCAACAACCCTGCAAGATCGTGGTAGGCAGAGATATAGCATATAGCAACTCTCTGGAGATCACTTAAGAAAGCTTGGTCGCCAACACCAAGGGGAAATTTGAACTCTGTCCTTGTCTGGCACCCAATCCACTCTACCATACTGGGCCTCAGTTTATCTGGGAAAGATGTTCATGGTTTTGCCGAGCAGCCTCTCTAATTCGGCCCCAAAATTAGAGCCGGTTCGCCGTTAAAGGAAGAAAACCTGAATGCTGGCCTCCAGCCGTCGGGAGCCATGGGGCTTGGCAGCTAGCTTTCATCCTCTGCCCTGCATCCAAGGTTCCAAGCATGGATTAGGCAGCAAAAGGGACCTGCTGGGCCCCAGCTTCCCATCACATCCCACCACTGAAAACAGTGGCCACATGATGGGAATTGCTATCCGATACCCTAAGGGCAAGCTGGTCAGTATTACTTGTATATGAGCTTTAATCGTAGCCCCCCCAACTCCCTTTTCCTGCTATAAACCCAGCCCTTTAACAATTATATGACATGGCCTCTCTAGTTTAATCCTTGGGGTTGGAAGGAGCTAATTCTGTTGTAGTGGTGTGGATTTCCTCCTTCACCTGGCCTGCAGAAGAACACTGAGGCAGAAGGAGAGATGGAAGAAGGGGCACATCCTGCTTTTTCTTAGCAGCAGAGAGTCCAGCCCTTTAACAATTATATGACATGGCCTCTCTAGTTTAATCCTTGGGGTTGGAAGGAGCTAATTCTGTTGTAGTGGTGTGGATTTCCTCCTTCACCTGGCCTGCAGAAGAACACTGAGGCAGAAGGAGAGATGGAAGAAGGGGCACATCCTGCTTTTTCTTAGCAGCAGAGAGTGCTTGTCCTGTCCCTGGTGTTCCACTGCCAAAGTCCTCCCTAATTTATATGAGGGGGTGAAGTCCCTCTCTTTCTTTCATTCCAGGCAGAGCTCAAGCCTGCCAAGTTTGCCCTCCCCTCTGTAGCTAAAACGAAACAGAAGTCGACTGTTTTGCAGCCTAGAACATCTCAATAAGGTAAATCCAGAGGGCTGCAGATTTGGCTAATTGACAGTCACAAGACTAGGGGCCAAGCCTGGCTGCAGAAACCGTCCTTTGAACAAATTCTGGGACTCCAGGACTTCAAGCAGCAGAGGCCAGCCGTTCTCTTCAAACCCTGTTTGTTCCAAGTCTTGATGATCGTTACCACCACCACCACCATCCCGCCCATGAACCTTGCTTCACAAGCCCGTCTCTGCAATACTTAGCAGTCCCTTGAGGAATTATCTGACATCCTGGTTGGTTCCAAATTTACACCACCTAGAGTTTGTCCTCGCCTACCTCTTGACCTCCGTCTTCCTCCATCTTGGTCTCTTCGTCTTCTTGACTGCACAGTCCTCCTTCCTCCTCCATTTCAGCTTCTGTCCCACTAGTGAGGCCACAGCTCTCCAAGGTGATGCCAAAAGGACCCAAGGGCAAATCTGCAAAAGATGAAACATTGCCCAGCATTTCCTAAATATTTCCAGGGAGCAAAGCCTGAGGACTGCAGCTTCCTGAATACTTATGGCCAGCCACCTGCCTGCCCTACCATGGGAAGCTGTTCTTCTGCTCTGCCTTCCCCAGCAGCTTTTTGAGAAGAAGGGAAGGATGAATATATGCTAAAAAAATAAAAGAAGCACTGCAGGGAAGAGATGTAGGGATAAGCGTGCAGTGAAGCGAGAATCATTTGGCAACCCCCAAGAAGCAAAACCTTGGATACACCACTGCCACCTTTCCTGAGCCACTTACTTGCCAAAGCTTTCTCGTTCTCCTGTTCCAGGGCTTCAAAATCAAAGGCCTTGCCCATCTCTGCCACAATCTCTGCACTGATGTGAGTGGGGAGCGTGTGGGTTTCGGGGGGATGTGTGAAGTAGCTGATCTTCCCACTATCAGAGACAGAAAGAGAGTGAAACTTTGAAATTAACCAGAGATTATGCAAAGACAGAGCTAAAAGTATCTGAGTCTCTCAGATCCTGTTTTATTCTTCCGGGTGTCTCTCTGCCCTTTTGAGACTGACTGGATTAGAAATGACAAGGGTTAGGAGGCCTCCATCAAAATCAGCCTCTGCAAGGGAGACACATTTCCGATCCCCTTGTCCTTCTGAGGATTTTGACATGCAAACCTGCACTCACCTTGTCCAGTCACTTAGCACTGCTTTGGCTGCCTTCTCATGGTCCGGCATCCCTCCTCTCTTCAGCTTGCCTTGGCGCCTGGCTAAATGAGCCAGGAACTCCATCGTGTCTTGGAAATCTGGCACACCATAGTGCTGCATAATCTTTTTTTTTTTAAAAAGAGAGGTGGAAGGAAGAAGAGAGAGAGGCTGATTACCATCTTTAACCCACTTCACTACTGCTTAGTAACTTGTATCTGCATCCAAGTGATCTCTAACCAATGGGACCAAAGGCCATGGGGGGGATTGCACTCAGTACAAAGTACAGTGGTGCCCCACTTGACGATTACCCCGGTAGATGACGAAATTGCTTAACGATGAGGTTTTTGCAATCGCTATTGCGATCGCAAAACGATGTTTCAATGGGGAAAATTCGCTTCATGACAATCAGTTCCGTTTCGGGAACCGATTTTTCACTTCGCGTCAATCAATTGCTTCATGACAATCAGTTCCCTGTTTCAGGAACCGATTTTTCACTTCGCGTCAATCAAAAACAGCTGATTGTCGGGTTTTCAAAATGGCCGCCCGCTGTTTCCTGGACCTATTTCCAGAAGACAGCGACCGAAAATGGCTTCCCCTATGGAGGATCTTCGCTGAACAATGAGGTATTTCGCCCATTGGAACGCATTGAATCGGTTTTCAATGCATTTCAATGGTTTTTTTTTCTTTTCCTTGATGACGATATCGCTTAACAGCGATTTTAATGGAATGGATTAAAGCAGGGCACACCACTTTCTCATTCTTGTCACTTTCACCATGTCTTCTGAAGAACTGCCATTCACAGTGTTTCTGACTACACAGAAAGATGCAGGGTACCTGGTAAGAGAAATCCCAATTTTGAGTTCTGGGGAAGGGAGGAGCCCAAAGAGATTCTAAATGGCATCTCCTGGGGGAGTTCACACACACACACACACCACTTTCTCATTCTTGGCAGCAACTGGCTCACATTTTTTTTTCTTTCAGTGGGTCCATCACCCATCCTGCTTTATTGGTTTTGTCAGCCAGTCAGCTCTATTAATATATGCAGCCGGGGGGGGGGGCGATTGCTCCAGGCTAACCAGTTACCACTTAATAGCTTTTGAAGCAGGGTGGTTAGTGTGCAGTCAGGTTGAACCATCAACTAATAAAATGCACCCCTTTGATTAATTGAGGCAGACGGCACTCGAACTCTCGCTTGCCTGCAAGTGAGTCCTTTTGACTTCAATAGGTTTTACTGATGAATCACTAGACTAGCTAAGACTTGGTTTCAGATACTGAGAATTGGTTCAAAAATATTTCGGCCAATTCGTTAGCAGATTTTTCTTCCTCTACTTTTTAAACTGTCCTCCCCCGACCCCCAAAAAAAGAAAGTACTTGAAGAAAAGAAGCGCATTGGGATAGCCGAAACTATCTCACGTTTACATTTTCTGTTGTCAAAAAACACATCTTGCTGGAAGAAGAGGCATCCTTTATTCTCCGAGACAGAAGCAGGAATGCCTCTTCTGACACTGCTCCTGCTGCCGCTTGACTCAGCCATCTGGCGTGGTGTGGTGAGCTGTGGTGCACTGGACTGGGCTCTGGAAGACCCAGATTCAAAACCCAAGCCAGTCAGACATCTCAGTGGGTTATCATCCTAGGCCAGTCATTCTTCCTACCTGACCCACCTCACAGGACTGTTGCGTACACAGAGTGGGCAGGAAGTTCATTGGGGGAAAGTAGACTATAAATGCAGATCAAATGAAAATAAAACAACATGTCATACACACCTACACTTTTTGAACTGTTGTCCGAAATTAATGAGGGGCAGCTGCTGAGTGATCCAATGGCCACCTGTTATTAATCATTTTTAGGTCCCCAAAGTATAACTACATGACTTGGTTGGATGTGAACCAACAAATAATCCTGTGCCAGTTTAAAGACTAAAAGGTTTATAAGCCGTCCAAATTAAGAAGACTGTTCAAAACTGTCTCTGAATACAATTAACCAGTATATTTAATCGGAGAAACAAGGGAGGGAATCCGGATTTTTGTCTTGGGTTTCTCATAACAACAGATCAACTATCTCACTTAATTTAGATCGATCAATTCTACTAAAGCCCACAATAAGCCTTTGAAAGAAGCCCTGAATTCCTGATCTCCATCGACATAATTATCTAGATCACCATTACAACTGTGTACAGCTAAAGCCCAAGACACCATTCCATGACTATGGATGGGAAACGCTGTTTTCCTTCAGACTCCCATTCTGGGAGTTTTAGTTAAAAACACACACACAAACAACACCAAAAGGCAACACCCCCATTTCTGCTAGAGCTACCTGCTGCTTGTTGCACCGTTTCAAAATGGCCTCCACTGGACTAACTGGGTCGACCAGTCGCTCTATCTTAACACAGTTTCGTAGGATCATGACAGCATCAGAGGTGGGAGAAGCCATGACAATCCCCGGACAGTCCAGGAGTTTGATGTGTTTGTCCAGATGCACCTCTTGCAGGCACCTAGAAGATTGGGGTTAAGAATATGAGAAAAATGATTTGCAATCAAAGGGAAAGAGTTGCTTCTTCCACTACAAACCCCCTCCACTTCTCTGGGTGATGTTTTCAACTCCAGGGGTGGCAGCAATGTGCTCCTGGGGCCATTTTTGCACCCCATCTCACTCCTGCCAGATAAGCTACTATCGTGGCAGTGGTAAAGTAAGACCTGCTATTTTTCTGGCAGCATAATTCCATGACACAGAGCAGTAGCTCCCACCTTTAGGTCTCCAGATGTTCTTGGACTGCAATTCCCAGAAGCCTTCTCTGTTAGCTATCCTGGCCAGGATTTCTGGGAGGTGTAGGACAAGGTTAGGAGCACTGACACATAGGGAATGGACACTTTTCAAGTAAGAAAGAACTGCACTGTCCCCTCCTACCACTTGCAGAAACCAGGTACACACCCTCTGTCTGTGATCGGGGGGGATGGGGATAAGGCTGCTCTCCTTCCCCTTGAAGTTACCTCCTGCAGCTCTAGAGCTATCCAGGCCAGGATTTCTGGGAGGTGTAGGACTCAAGGTTAGGAGCACTGACACACAGGGATTGGACACTTTTCAAGTAAGATTGCACTGTCCCCTCCTACCATTTGCAGAAACCAGGTACATACCCTCTGTCTGTGATCGGGGGGATGGGGATAAGGCTGCTCTCCATCCCCTTGAAGTTACCTCCTGCAGCTCTAGGTGCAAGCCTGAGCAGCAGTGCTTCACCCACAATCTTGTAACTGCTTTAAGATTTACAGCTGGGTCTCTGTTGAAAGGCCAACACAACCATCTCGTGTCTCAAGCTGTTATGTCCAAGGGACAGTCAAATTCCAGCCTTCCAGAGGTTGCTGGATGGCCACTCCTATTAGCCCTGCTCAGTGCTGCCAGAGGTAGAAAAAGCAAGGAGATGCAGTCCAACGGCAAGCTCTGTTCTTACTATTCCTAGGGGCAGAGGAAGGAAGAGTCCTAGTCCGAGGCTTGAAGGCTAGGGCATGAGCAATGACCACCTTCCGACATGACAATAAGTGACAACTGCAGGCATTTTTGTTGCCTAAGGGAGAGGAATAAAAGGCACTCCCACCCATCCACTCATTAAGATGAAGAGTATCCAAAATATGGCTACTTATTTTGACATCTGAGGCACCCAATCTCAGAAATGCTTTTCCTCCTTCAGGGTGCATGAACAACATAAATGCACATCAATTTGCTACCGATCAATGGCATCCAAAACATTCTGTCAAAGCCTAAAGGCAAGGACCATCCCTCCTTGCAAAACCTCATCCCATTGTTATTCACCATTCCTAGGCTTTCTGTTCCATGAAGGATTTTGCCGGTCCACGGTTCTGATCCCCTTGGCCCACACCTGACTGTTCAGGGAATCCACAGGTGGATTTCAACCAGGCCTACTTGGGCGAGCGCTCCTTCATCCAATCCTTTCCCCCCACCTCTCACAGGAGGGAGAAATCAGCACCAAGGCTTAAGCTGACCTCTCTCTGATTCAAGGGGTTGCACTGGACTCACCCCAATTCACCAGGGATGACAGGGCCACTGAATTTTAGCAGTGGCTGCTCTACCGCAACTGCTAATGAAACCCGACATCCATTGTAGTTCTTCTCTCTGGTGCAAGAGGGAGCCAGAGAGCATCCATTTCCCTTCTAGACGGGAAGGAACGGGGAAGAGGTCCTGTGCTGAGGTGCCAAATCTCACCACTCTTACCCCAGCCAAGGCTATTTGCCTGTGTGCTATATATATATATCAATACACACACCAAGAGAGAGAGAGAGAAAAGCTGCAACCTACTTAGTGACGCCAGGTGTGGCACCAACGCTGCAGGCCCGGCTCCTCTTCAAGCTGTTGATCAAGCTGCTCTTCCCGACATTTGGGAAGCCTGTAGTCGGGAATGAGGAAAAAGGCACCTCTGTCAGCCGATGCCCCCACCCACCCTCTGGCAAAGGCTCTCCCGTGAGAGTCATCCAGCCTCTTTTCAGCACCTCATGCAGGGTTCTGCTCTCCACACGCTTCGTTAGCCATCACCGGCCCACCACAGGAGAAGAGAAGCCTAAGCATCCTTCCCTCTTTTAACAGACAGACAGACAGGCAGCAGAACAAAGGTAGCTAGAGAGGCTACTGCAGCCTCCAGGCAGGCTCAGAAAGGCCGTCCCTGTCATGAGGTAGAGTGAGGCGACTGCTCCCAGCAGCAGGAGAACAGAAGGCAAGGGGCTCCCAGCTGCTGCTCTTAAACCTGATTTGGACAAGTGGCACCCCCCCCACAACCTGCCCTGGTCTCTCTCCAAACTAACCCCTGCTTCCTCAGGGATAGGGGAGGCTGCTCTTCCTTCGGCAGGACTGAAGGCAAAAGGGCCGTTGCCATTTCGACCGGCTCCTATACATGGAATGTATAGGATGTGAAATGGTGCCATCCTGTCCTTTGCCTCAGGCAACACACAGGGTCTTGAACCAGGCCTGCTGCTCAGTAGGCTGGCCCCGCTTTGACCCAGGCCCACGCATGGTCTCAGTGGGTTGGGCACAGCGTTGCCTACTTTTGAGCTTGCAGCTTCCCACCCAGTTGTCAGAAGGTTCCAGCGGGGCTTGAGATACATGGCTCCTTCTCTCCCTTGCCTCTTCTCCGGCTTCCTATCTGCAGCAATACCTCTACCTCTGCTAGGGCTTCCTGGCTTGTCTGAGTCTCCGTTCACCAGCTGTCTCTGGCTGAACGCCCCTCTGGAAGGAACAGAGGATTTGGCCAAAGGCCCAAAACTGGCAGAAGGAAAGGAAGATCTTCCTGTGCTCGGCAGATGGTGGCTACGTTTAGACCCACCCACCCCAAACAACGGAGGCAGGAGAAGCAAGCATGCTTTTTAAGCTCCCCTTGACTTCCGAGGCACAGAAGCAATATTTGCAAACACGGACATGAAAGATATTTGAAAACATTTGCCTGCTAGTTTAGTGGGAAGATGAAGCCATTCACATATTCCGGGATTCTTGAAAAACCCTCAGGAAAACGATTACTACCTTGACGAAACATCAGGTCTGATTTTGGAAGCTAAGTAAGGTTTGAGCCCCAGGAGTATCTGGATGGGATATACCACATATGGCCAAGGATCTTTAGGTAGGCTACGAAAGAAATCATCTCAGGATGTTCCTTAGCCACACCTGAAAGCTACTGCTAATAACTCTGCCTCAGGTGGATCAGCAGTCTGACTCTGTGTAAGGGGCTTCCTGGGCTTTTCAACTCACCCACAACTCCGACAGTGATGGTTGTCCGGACATTCTGGTTCCGGCAGTAGTTTGCCAGCACCTTCATGAGGCAGTCTGCCCCGACACAGGCGCCACTGCTGAGCAGGTCACCCGAAGCCTGGGTTACTGGCACTCGGCTTTGTTGCTGGAAAAAAAAGAGGGACTGTCAAGAAATAATAGCAACCGCAGTCCCATCACATGGCAGAACACGCCGACTGCTGAGGAATCCCTTTTGGGGGAACTCTGCTGAAGAAAATCCAAGATCTCAATGGACAGACTGGATCTCATCACTTGGACATCAGTGACTGGATTTCCCCAGTAAATCTGGCCTCCTGAAAAGCACCGTCTGGCCCTTCCAAGGTTTGAGAAGAAAGTGATGTTTTCTAGAAACAGCACGTGCTCTGAGATGATGGGGGACTGGGGGCTCCCCACACTTTGTCTCAAAATGGCCTTCAAGGAAAAGGGAACTGTTGAAACCAGACCTGCAGCTTCTTTGCCCCACCACAGCCCTTGTGGGTCCCACGTACCAGGTTTTTGCTCTGCTGCTGCGTGGAGGCTTTAAACGCTACCGTAGGAAATTCATTCCTCAGGTACTTCAGCCACTTTGCTACAATATCCTTAGACACCAGATCTGGTCCAGAAACAGAACAGGAGAATTAAGCTGGAAGACAGAACTCGTATACCACATGTACATAAAACCTATGGCTTTCGGAATGCATTGGATGGCAATGCTCACCAGCCCTGGGCACTTTAGCCAGTGGTGAGGGATTGTGGGAGATGTCATCTAGCACCTGGAGGACACAGATGGCCCAGAAATGGATCAGGCCCACCTGTTTTCTTTGGGCCCAAGGGCCTGTCAGGCATGTAGTACTCTACAACTGTGGGATTCTGCTAAAAACTATAACCTCCCACATACTCTGCAGGTGAGGCAGCAATGCCATACCCCGCAGCTGCCATGAACAAGATGAACCCTAAAACAATAAGTTGTTCTATAGTCAAAATGCCCCTGAAAAGCTTTGATAAAAAGCTTTAAAAATAACTACTTTACTTTCTCGTGCAAGATAAACCAAACGAATGGACAGTAAGACCTCCGTATCTGCTGATTTGCTTATCCATGGTTTGAAAATATTAAAAGAAAAATCCAAGAAACATAGATTTCTAAAGATGAAGTTACTAGAACTGCCCACTAGAGGGAGTCAGAGACCATGCTATCTATAAGTTTGCTATCATCTGCATTTTTCCGCTTGGAACTGATCTCCTGCAAATACAGGGGGTCCTACTGTCATCTGGCTTTCTTCTCTGAGAACATTCTCCAGACTTGTCTGGTGGAGTATCTGGATTCAGGGAGAGAAGCCCCCATCTGGAACGGAACCGCCCAGGATATTGTGAATCTTTGCTGAAGATTCTTGGCTACAAGAGGGTCATACACCTGAGTCATAACATGAGAGAGGATTACAGCCCAGGCCTATCTGTGCCCTACTGTCATTTGGCTTTCTTCTCTGAGAACATTCTCCAGACTTGTCTGGTGGAGTATCTGGATTCAGGGAGAGAAGCCCCCATCTGGAACGGAACCGCCCAGGATATTGTGAATCTTTGCTGAAGATTCTTGGCTACAAGAGGGTCATACACCTGAGTCATAACATGAGAGAGGATTACAGCCCAGGCCTATCTGTGCCAGACCTCTCTCCTTTTCCAGAGAGTCCAGCAACGCGGCCCTTCATGCTCACCTATTTTGTTCAGCACCAGTACTAGCCTCTTGTTGGCTCCTGCTTGCACCACTGCCTGTTCAACTTGGGGGCAGCGGCAACCTTGAGGATCCCGGGCATCAAGGACTTCTAGGATCACATCAGCAGCTTCCACTACCTAAGGAAAGAGAGAGAGAGAGAGAGAAGGCTAAGCAGGAGGGAGGGGTAGTACATCTGATCCCTGCCCTTGCCCAGCAGAAGGAAGAGCTCTTGCACATCTCATCGGAAACCCAACAAAGCATCACCTTAAAGCCCGAGGCCTCTTTTCCCCCCAGAACTTGGGGAAGTTATTTCAGGACGCAATTCCTAGAGTCCCCCACCCCCCCAGCCATGCTAAGGGTGAAATCCCTTCAGCCCCACTAACCTTCCTGAACTCCTTATAATAGGCTTTGCAGGAGCTGTCTTTCTCCAGCAGGGCATGTTTGGCCAGTTGCTTCAGATCTACCTCCTGCGGGAAAACAAATGTAGGTGTATATATGTAACACCTTTCGAGCTGGCTGGATCACTCAGTGAGCTGGAGAATCAGGCTGCAGAGTCAGGGGCCGGAAGTTCGATTCCCCACTATGCCTTGTAGGAGAAGAGTCCCTCCGTATGTCCTTGGGAAAACTACCTTACTTAAAAAAAACCTGGAAAGGGTTGCCCTAAGTTGGAACTGAATTTGCAATATAAACTTAACGTCATTTAAATATGCATATAATTAAAGAAAGTTGCACTTAGATAGGGTGAGTCTCCATGGCAGATTACGGGACAAGCCCGTTATAGCTAGAAAGCATTAGCACCAGACTGGCCCCATCTTTGCTGTCCTTCCTCAAACACGCAAAGACTTTTCTCTTCAAGCCAACTTTCCCTTCGTAACTGAGGAAGAAAGAAAAAATTTTAATGGGACTGTTGTGTTTTTAATGCATTTTTATTACCGTTTTTATCTCCTGGTTTTAATCTATTTATCTAGTTCTTTTAAAATATTGTAACAATTGATTGTGTTAGCTTTAATACTGTTTCTTTTAATATTGGAAGCTGCCCTGGATCCTTTTGGTGAGAAAGGCAACATATATGAATGAATGAATATTTGTTTGTTGTTTCCCTGCTAGAAACACATGGTTGCTTGCCCAAAGGAGGATACAGAGGAGTACAGGGGGATCATAGTATCTGTGGGGATTGGTTCCACGATGAAGAAAAATGCTGAAATAGCTAAGGCTATACATAGTGTGGTCTCTGGCTCCCTCTAGTGGCCAGGTCTAGTAAATATGCCATAGAAATAAATATGTATTTCTGAGGTTTTTTATTTAATATTTTCAGACAGTAGATAAGTGAATCTGCATATCAGTAGATACTGATCCCGCAGATAGTGGGGTCCTACTGTATTCAACTTCAAGATGATCACAACTGTTTTGAGGCAATCATCTCAGGAATACACATTTGAAAAACAAAGCTTTAGAAGTCAGCAGAGTGGGGCTGTAGCTGAGAGTACACAAGCTCAGAAGGGCCCAAACCTCTTTCCTACACTGGGTGGAAGTTGGTGTGAAATGGGGTAGAATATCCCCTCTCCTCACCAGCTCCTGCTCTGAACTTTTACCCACCCAATTCAACATGTCCTCATTCTTCTGAAAAGATTTTTCAGGGAGGAAACACTTCTGCATGGGAGTTGAGCCATTTGGTCCTCATGCAAATATGCCACCTCTTGGATAAACATTGGTGTAGAAGAGGAGGCAAGAACAGCGACACTGTGAAGACATACGGGATGATGCAGCCAGTAGGTACTTGAGGAGGGGGCAGAAGGAATGAACATGCAGAGAGGAGAAAAAAAGAGGCCCCCAGCACAGAGGGAGAGACCATTGGGGAGGGGGAGACGGGGCACATTAGCGCTGAGAATGATCTCTCAGCCTCAGTATAATTACCTTTTGTTCAAATTGCTTTTGCCTCATCAGGGCATCCTTCTGAAGACCCTCTAGACTCCGGAACCTGCTGACTTCCTGTTGCCGGGCCATGCGCTGCCGTTCCTTCAGTTCTGCAACCTGGTTGAGAGGTGCACAGCCTTAACCCACCAGGGCATCACCAGGCCTTTGCAAAAAATATTTTTTCAGGCTCTCCCAAACATAGGCTGAAATCCTATTGCTTTGTTACACACAAGACATTCCATTCCATCGTTCCTGGCTAATAATCCCTGCTTGGATTCTTGAGTGCTCGCCAATCCAGAACCCCATCCCTCAAGAATCCCAGCAAGGACCCATTAACAGTTAACCAGGAATGACTGAATGTTGTGCCTTTTGTGGAAAAAAGCAACAGGAATTCAGCGAAGGGATCTGGAACCCACTTTAGGCATCCAACCCCCCCGATTTGTAGCTAGGGAATGTATCTCAAAGAGCCAAGCCCAGCACCATTTCCCCAGAAGCATCTCCTACAATTCTTCACCTCACCTTCTTCTGCTTTAGTGCTGCTTCCTTTTTGACATGCTCCCTCTTTTTCACATGTTCTTTGAAGTGTGATAACTGGGGCACTCCTGGATCCTTCTTTCCCCGTCTTTTTGCATCTCTTTTCTGCAGAAAGGACAGGCAGAGCATTGGGCCTAACACCAGATATGAAACTATAGAAGAGGGTTGGCCAACCCGCATGCTCTCCAAAGGTAACAAGAGGGAAGGGTTGGATTGATAGCTACACATCTCCACTGCCGTACTCTCCCTCTCCCGCCCTGAGAAACACTCTCTGCCAAACAGACAGACACACTGAGCTTGGAGAAGTTACTTTTTTCGACCACAGCTCCTAGAATCTCTTAACCATTATGGAGTTCACCTTCTGCATACATACACCTTTCCTTGTTCTTCTCATGCCACACCTCCACCCAGGTTCCTTTAAAAGCAAGGACGATGCTGGTGATCCCCCAGGACCCATTAATAGCTAACCAGGAATAACTGAATGTTGCGCCTTTTGTGGAAAAAAGCAACAGGAATTGAGCGATGGGATCTGGAACCCACTTTAGGCATCCAAACCCCCCCCCCGATTTGTAGCTAGGGAATGTATCTCAAAGAGCCAAGCCCAGCACCATTTCCCCAGAAGCATCTCCTAGAATTCTTCACCTCACCTTCTTCTGCTTTAGTGCTGCTTCCTTTTTGACATGCTCCCTCTTTTTCACATGTTCTTTGAAGTGTGATAACTGGGGCACTCCTGGATCCTTCTTTCCCCGTCTTTTTGCATCTCTTTTCTGCAGAAAGGACAGGCAGAGCATTGGGCCTAACACCAGATATGAAACTATAGAAGAGGGTTGGCCAACCCGCATGCTCTCCAAAGGTAACAAGAGGGAAGGGTTGGATTGATAGCTACACATCTCCACTGCCGTACTCTCCCTCTCCCGCCCTGAGAAACACTCTCTGCCAAACAGACAGACACACTGAGCTTGGAGAAGTTACTTTTTTCGACCACAGCTCCTAGAATCTCTTAACCATTATGGAGTTCACCTTCTGCATACATACACCTTTCCTTGTTCTTCTCATGCCACACCTCCACCCAGGTTCCTTTAAAAGCAAGGACGATGCTGGTGATCCCTCTGCCCTGCCGGAGGAGTTGGTCACACACACACCAGCTCCCCTGTTTGCTTTCCCTAACACCCAGTTTCGCCTTTTGGCACGACTTTTTCTTTTTTCTGCCCTGCCGGAGGAGTTGGTCACACACACACCAGCTCCCCTGTTTGCTTTCCCTAACACCCAGTTTCGCCTTTTGGCACGACTTTTTCTTTTTCTTTCTAATTCCTGCCCTGTCAGGGATCACACACACCCAGCTCCCCTGTTTGTTTTCCCTAACACCCAGGTTCGCCTTTTGGCACGACTTTTTCTTTTTCTTTCTAATTAAGCTGCCAACAGAGGATATTCTCCTCACTGTACCAATGATGAATACTGAATCAATGCTGTCAATTATAACAATATTTATTTAAGGATTCGAAGGTGAAACATATAAGGAAAATCATGGATGTTCTTGTAGTATTTATTCATTAAACGTGCTTTGGATTTCAGATATGCTTACTTATGTAGGAGTCACTTTAATCACGGTGTTACAACATTCAAACTGTTTATTTAATTCTTATTACTTTTACTTCTTCAGTTATCAGACACACCAACTTTCCAAGTTCTTGTTTTCAATCCTTCCCTAACTATCCCTCTTAACTCTTTCAATCTCTCTCTATATCTCTGTCTCTTCTTCTCTCTAACTCTCCAACTTCCCAACTGACTTAACTGTCTCAACTGTCTTCCCCCAGTACCGTTGGTTCCGCCCCTCCGGTCCTCTCATAGGCTCCCACACCAGAGCTCTACCATGACTGACAGGAGTGACATTTTATCTGTCCGTCACAGAGTTGTTCTCACTAAGAGAAGTGAGATCCGCAGGAGGAGGAAAAGACCTAGAGATGACTCTTCTTGTGCTGTTTCCTCTCCACTGGCACAGTGGTTATTTCCAGGGCAGGGAATGGCCTGAGCATGTCCACTGCAAGGGCTTGCAGATGCTAGGGTGTCTTGAGGGTGGGGGACCTGCGGCCTTCCAGATGATAGACTGCAATTCCCAACACTGGTTACTAAAGCTGGGGAAGGTAGGAACTGGAGTTCAGCAACATCTGGAAGGCCACACACTGCTCACCCCTAATGAAAATCATGGGAAGGACATGGTTCCTTCTTAGTCTTAAAATCACAGTGTTTGTCTCAGGGACAGAAAAATATTGGTACAGCCACATGACAGAAATTCATCTCAGTTTCATAGACAACATAAATAAAAAGATACTTGACTGAAAAAGCTAGGCTTCAGTTACCTGCCTCAGTTCCTTACTCTTTACAACTAGGAACAGACCCTTGTTATTTCTCAGATCTACTAACACGGACACCTCCCAACCTTCTCCTGATGAGCTGATCCTCTTATGCTTACATGAAGTGCTTGAGAAGTTTCTTTTTGGGATTAGCATTCCTAACACCAGTATGACCACTGCTCAAGTTGCCTGGGAACTCTGGAGAGTGTTTAAAAAAAAAACCAAAGCAAAAGTGTGCTGCTTATATACCACCCCATAACACTTAAAACGCTCTGTGGGCAGCTTGCAGTTTAATTATGCAGGCTACACACACACACCACAAGCTGAGTGTGTAGCCTCAATTTACCAATCTTGGAAGGCCGAGTGAACTTTCAGGCAGCAACCTGAGATTGAACAGAGGTTGCGAACAGAGTTCTTGCTGCAGTACTGCAGTTTAACCACTGTGCCAAAGGGCTCTTTTATAGCCCAAAAGAGTCGCTTTTTTTCAAACTCCCTGCAAAAGAATGCTGGACATTGCCTTCCTGCCACCTCCAGTTCTTCTTTTGACCTACCATCAGCTGCCTTCTGCCCCATGACCTCCCATAAAAATCAACACTTCATTAGTACAGGCTATCTTCTCATTGTCAAATCCAGAGGTCACTCCTTTGGACTTTCTGACCTCTCTCCTGCTTTTGGTGCAGCTGACCAACCCTTTCTGTACACAACCCTTGTCCACATCATCTGCTCACTGACTCTCCTCGCCCCCTCCAGCCTTTATAAACAGTGGAAAACAACTAGTACTGACACTGCCTACTCACCTTGCTATGTTTGTGTTTCTTTCCAGATTTCTTCTGCTCTAAAAGAGGGAAGGAGAGGAGAGAAATCAAAGTTATGGCAATTGCCATTTTACATCTTGTTTTTTAACAGCACTTGGCGACATCTGATAAATGAACTAAGCAGAGACTTACTGCGGGTCATGACGCAAGGCTGTGTGTGTGTGTTTCTACACAATGTCAGCTTCAGTGGTCACTAAAATATATCTGAATGACTTGCTTTTCAGATTAAGAATGCCTGGAAAAGAAGGAAAGAAATACCTACTGAGAACCAGCATAACAATTAGAGAGACTAGCATTTAGATAATCATAATGTGTGATCTGATACCAATTCCTATTCAAATCTGATAAGACTTCATATAGCTATTGTGGGACTAGAGCAGGACAGCCATGTTTCCAGCCTTCAACTCACAAGAAGAAGAAGAAAGGATTGAAATGTGACTAATATTACTAACCCTTATAATATTAAAGCCAAAGACCAGAGTATATCAGCAGAAAAACATAAAATACAATTTTTTGATGAAAAACAAGTCACAAACCAGATACAAACTCCACAGAGAAAAACAGAAATGCCTCATATTTAATATTCTCTTTTTCTCTCCCTCTTGATCTTCGAACCCACATCCACTCCTCCTATCTCTTCTCTCCCCCCATCGTCTTTGCTCAGGCCTGATGTCCGTTTTCTTTCTTCTGGGGAATTTTTACAACCAAGCCCTAAAACAACATAAATTGCTGAATGCAAATGTAACATACACCCAGGAGCCAATTAATATTTAATATGAAACTGATATTTCATTCAACACTTCATTTTGTTTCCATATGTCTGATGAAGTGGACGTGTCCATGAAGGCTCACATTCAAATATACTGTAATAGTCTTTTAAGGTGCCACTTGGTTTTTTTGTCTTGTCTTGTTTCTTTGGATTTTGCCTGATATGCTTGCACAGACCAACATGACTACCTCTTCCAAAACTACATCATCAATCATTTGTAAGAGTGTAGTAAGAATTTATGCTCAGAGGTGTATAAAAATGGCACAAAGGAAGCCCCTAAAACCTGCCCCTCCTAGAAGGAGATCTCAGGGCCAGGGGATATAAACTGCAGAATGAAGTAGAAATTCATCTCTCTCTCTCTCTCTCTCTCCAGGTAGAAATTCATCCCCCCTCACACTCACACACACACACACACACACACACACACACACACACACACACACGCACAACGTAACCCTGTTTGAACACATTCTCATGATCAGTACATAAAGGGGAAAGCATCAGTGTAGATTCCCTTATTACAGTCATTCAATGCATATTGATGTATCTGTGGGGCGATGTGTTTCTCTCACAAGGAAGCATTCAAAACTGACACTTTCCAGCTCCATGTGAAGCAAAAGGGGACTATAACACACACCAGCCCCAGCTGGTTTAGTCCAGAGTGCTGGTAAATGGGAATTACAGTCCCACATCATCTGTAGCTTTATCACTTGATTGTATAAATACATTCAAAAAAACTGAGAAAAGCCTTGACATGCCACAGATGATACTGGTATAACGCCCTCCCTTGCAAAGTATCCTTTTCATAAGTATTTCGCCCCCCTTCGATACCTCTTACCCTGTTAAGAAGTTCCACTTCCAGGTCGACAGTGAGTCTCTGTCTCTGCAAACACATGGGGTTTCCTGGGCAGGACACATGGTTTCCTGCGCGTGCCTGAAGGGGGCGGAACTCCCTCCGTGCGTGCCGGCATCTTCCGGGACGTAGGGACCGCCCCTGTTCTCTTAATACCGCCCTTTGTTTGCTGAGGTTGCAGGAATGAGGCTTTGGGGGTTTTTGGGGGAGCAGCAACAAAGCCCAGGGTGTTGGGGGCTGGGGAAAGAATGGGGAGGACGAAACAAAAAATCTGCATGCACAGGCGATGTGAGAGGCGGGCTAACGTTTGCATTCTTGTATCCTTGCACAGTACCAGAAAGCTCCAGGTTTTGGAATTTGCACGCGAGGAAGTAGTCGCGCGGTTCTCCAGATCTGCAGGCTTGACTTTGCAAAGACTGCAAAGGGTAACATTTCGTTTGCAGAATTGTAAGCGAGGGAGATTTCTCCCCCCCCCCCCCCCGCGTAGCTCTCATAGACACGGCGGGATTTGGAATGCAGAAAAGGATCCCTCCAAGGTGGTAACGACCCGACATAGCAAATCTGCACAAATGAATGCAAATCGGCAAGACGTGCGGTGAAATTGCCCTGAGGGAAATGATACTTGACCGATTCTGCGCAAAGAAACATGAATTGCAAAGCTGTACAGTATTCCTATCGATCCTCAAAATATGGGGAATCTGGTGTGCGACTAGGTCCTGTCTTTGTTTTGGAAAGAGAACTGTTTAAAATCGTTGAAGGAAATGAATTTCACTACCGTGCAGGGAAGAAGAAAGATAATAGTGGAGTTCTGAGAAGGCAGGGCAAGGGGAGAAATAGGAGACAGAAGAGGGAGAACAGTGGTACAAATCTCCCTCCAGGACGCTGAACATGTTAGGACTAAAATGATTAGAGTCATTGCTGGCCTTCTTCATTCAATGACTGTATTTTACTGGTTAGCTAATGATGTCCAAGCAGTCTCTGTTTCTCCACCTCACTTGATCCTCCCCCAAACCCAGGGCTTGCCCTTTCAGATCTATACAGTATTTACTTTTGGGGGTTACACAGATATCACTTCAGCCTAGGCCTGTTTAGTGAGGGGGTTTTGTCATAGAAGAAGCATTCAGTTCTAAAATAACACTTGCACAGTTGAGAATTCCAGAGATGCAGATCTTCTTTTATATTCATTTTCATAAGATGAAAAGTGAAATGAAGAGTTTCACCCTCTTCTAGAATCTCCAGCCTGGATCAAAGGAGGGGTTTCTTTCTGCTCCCGGCCTGGCAAAGGCACTCCATGCAGATTTCACTGCTACTCTGTGCAGCCTGTTTACCAGGGAATCATTCCAAATAAAGGAAAACAGTCCACAATAGGAAGACCCTTTTCCTCACTGACTGCCCCCTCCTCCCTATTACCTTGTCTACAGTAGAAAGACCCTTTTCCTCACAGGTCTTACAAAGCTGGCAGTGCTATGGTTAGGAATATGATGCAAAACAAACAAACAAACAAACTAGTATTTTCTTAAATATTATGTTCGTCTAGGTTTTCGGCCCTCCTCTTCATCCTCCAGCATCTTGACTATATTGCCTGGTATGCATGATAGCTCTTGACTTTACGTGAATATGACCAGATTCCAAGTTCTGAAGATTTTCTTCCCACTGTTTATGTCTCCTAAATGTCATGTCAAAGCTCAAGACATGTGTGGACACAGGTAAGAGGCCTAGGTGTGTGGTAGCAGTCAATACCGTGGATATGCAGTATACTCACAAATCACTGACTGCCCCCTCCTCCCTATTACCTTCAGACACTTGCTGCTTGATATTGGTTAGGGCAGTTAATGAACGAAATGTGTTTATTCTATGTTGTTCATGCTCTTTGGCAGGCTTCTTGCCCCTTTATATAATAAGTTTTGTCTCACCTATTTTTTTAAAGTTCTTTTAGAGGATCTACATGGGTCATTCCAACATATATACTTGACCTTTCTGAAACCTTTTCTCGAAGGCACTCATCCGACCTCCTAAGTAGTCTTAAGAGCTATGGGTTAAGCAAATAGGTCGACTTGGTAAATGGATAAAGAGCAGGAAGTGGAAATCAGGCACAACTGGTCAGTTTTTGTAAACAGAGTAACGATAAAGACCTGTATTGGACAAGCGGTGTTCATTAATGACCTAGAGCTGTGCATGGGAGGTGAGATGGTGAGCTTTGCAGATGACCCTATATTCAGGGAGTTGCCAAAAGCAGTCACAAATGGGCTCTAAAAGAATCGCTGCACTGGCAATGGGCATCAAAATAAAACAAATACAGTTCACCATGAAATGACAACCTTTGTCCAAATACCCTAGCTTCACGTTTACGTTGATGCCGTTATCAGAGCTTGGGCACCTAGCTGGGAGTTCTTCAGTTGTACTCATTACTGTACTTCTACATTCCGTGAAGAATTGAAGTTTTAATTATTTTTACTCCATACAATTCTGACTGCTTCTTATTTATTCTTTCAATGTTGCTTAGATTTCATGTGGAGTTCATTGCTGATATATTTAAATTAGTTTAAAAAAGGCTGCAGACCGTCTGCACACCTGGTAGAGGTCAATAATTCAGTTATACCATGTATGATTACTTATTATAGAGAATAAGTAAATGGCCACTTGGCACTCTCAGTAAGTGTAGGTGTGCTAATTAATTATCAGGATCTCATTGATATGTGATTAAATTTTATGTATCTATAGAGAAGCAACATCCCTCCTTCCAAGGGAAATGGTTTGGAGTGCTTATTCTTGTGCAGCAAAAATCAAGCCTTCAGTTTATTTCTTAATAGTCCCCAGTTTTAGCCATTCCCATGTCAAATTATCATGCTTTCCAACAATATTTCTCAAATTATCATGCTTTCCATCAATATTGTCCATGTAGTGGTTTATTTTTCCAACTGCTTAATTCATTTTCAAATTGTTGTTTCTTATACTGAGCCTTTGTTTCTGTTCTTTTCAAAATATTTTCTATTCTCTTTTCTTTAAGTAATTTTTCTCTACTTGTACTTATATAATCACTTAGACTTCTTTTTCCTCCTTTTCTACCTGCTATATTTGCAGTATTCTATGGCCTCTAATTTTTTCATGGTAAATATAATCTGTCCACATCACTTTTTAGACGTAGTGCATGATGCATGTTCATTAGCTTCTGTATTTTTCAATCCAATTCTAATTTTGGGTCCAATCTGTTATTCCAGATTGTTATCTAATTAGTGGAATTGCCCATGTGTTTATGGCTTTAATTGTATTTCCACCATTTAATACTGATTTTAAGATTTTCTGCGGTATTTTGATATATTCCCTTTCTGTTAGTTGTTTAACTTTTATTTGTTGTCATTGTTGTTGTTCCTTGAAATACACCACCCTTCTCCCAGATTATCTGCAATGAAAGAAAGAGGATCTGGAATCATGCACATCATAAGGTCTGTGAAATCAAGAATGATAATTTGGGAGCCTGGAGACATGAAGAGCGTGGATGAACTCTAAACGGGGCATAGTATTCATAGATGTTAATCTAAGAATTCTCAAAATCTTGAAACTAGCTCCGTATTACATGTAGAATGCATTTCAGAATTAGTTAATCAGGCTTATTCCTTGAACTCTGAAAGATTAGCTGTCATTTGACTTTGGGCTAGATTTCTGAGTCTTGCATCCATGTGTAAAAGTTGCTCCAGGAAATAAAACAAAGTTCTGTTCAACATGATTTGAAATCCCGGGGATGTTGTCTGGCTCAGTGCATGGGGCTGAGCTCTTGTGTTCTACCCTTCGGAATCCAAACTGTCTCTGTAAGGATATGACTCAGAATAATTGGAGGAAAAAATAGAAAGCAAAAGAATAACCCGACTGCCAACTGAAAGGCTCAGATTAACTGCCAGAAGTGCATTTATGTGTAGGCTTATAGATGGGAATAACTCAGAGGAGAATAAAGGGGTCTTTAGAATACCACAAAATTGGTACATAACAGCTTTCTTTGCTCTGAGTTACAGAGAGACTTGCCAGATGCAGCTCATTTTAATGGCTCCTGTCCCATGTTATTTCAGCACACCACAGCCTCGTTGACCCAAATGGAAGCGTGTTCAAAACATTGCAGTTCCAAGAATTGCACAAAACAGCTTTGATTCCTTTTTAAAAAAACAACAACAAACTGTTGCATATTGCATGTATGTTAATCGTAGACATGAACATAACCCTCCTACCCTAGATTACCTTCTCAGTCAAAAAGAGCACAGTCAGCAGTCCTTGCAAAAGTAAAATGGAATACCTCCATGTAGATACTGGGGCGGGGGGGGGGAGAGTACTTTACTGAAAGTAGAAACTGCCTGCTTCTCCTTTATAATCAGAAAAGCTGGTTAGACATGCAAATGCTAACACACACACACACTCCGCATTCTGCCCTCATATTCCCAGGAAGAAGCAGGAATCTTGTTCCTGATATTCCCAGGAAGAAGCAGGAATCTTGTTTGTTTATTTTGGATTCTGGCTTCCTTCCAGTCGGCTCATCTATGGATTTCCTCAACCCCCGTTTGTTGTCACAACAAACCTGCAAGATGGCTCATGCTCCAAGAGTGAGCAGCTAAGAGCAGGTCTTGTTGCTAGAGTCTGAGCCTTGGGGGGGGGGATCTGGGTTCAAACTGCTCCTTAACCATGAAGCATTCACCTTGGGTCAGCCCAACACTCCAGGCTGACCTACTCCACAGGGTTGTGACAATCCCTTGTGGTGGGTGGGTTTGTTTATATTGATTTGTGATCTAGGGAAGAACAGCAGGATGCAAAAGTGTCACACAGGGAGGCAGAGTGCGGTTGGCCAACTTGGCTAGTGGATCCTTGCAAAAAAGGCCCACCCATGTGTATCTGGATGGGTGATGGATGGGGACCGAGCTCCCAGAAACGGTCTGAATTTTCCTTCTGAAAGACTAGGGGAGCTCAAGAATCCTAAGTCCGCTACTCCTCCACAATGCTGTAACCATTCAGCAAAGCTGCCTATACAGACCATTGGGAAACACGGCCAGCTGTGCAGAGAGAGACAGCTCTGCAATGTATGCCACCACTGT